AGAGAGAGAGAGAGAGAAAAATGAATCGTATTGAGTTTATGTGTTTAATCATGTTTTCTCTTTTCATGAAAGGCGGTGATGTGGACAGTATGTTTGACGTTGAGAAAGGTGTCGGCACTATCGTCATCGCTAAACCTCTGGACGCAGAGCAGCGATCGTTTTACAACCTCACGGTGGAGGTTACAGATGGGACTAATATAGCGTACACTCAGGTAAACACACACACTCAAATAAAAATAAATAAACATTCACGGACACTTGATACTTGATACTAATACACTTTGATCTATATGTAAAATTAATATGAATGTTTATATAATTTATATTTTTATCTTATATTAAATATATATTAATATAATTAATATTTTAGTTGCTTTAATATTTATAAATCTGTATTAATTCATGTGTATATTCCGCATTTCTCTCCACTTCATTTTTAGATATCGTATGGCATTTCTTTCACTTACAGTACTTCTTTGCATTGCTTTTATTCCTTAGAATATGGCCAGACATGATGCTAAAAGGCAGCATAATGTTTCTTCTTATCTTTTGGAGCAGCTTTTTTGTCTTTTACATGCTTTTGAAAGTGTCTAGGGAGGAAGCTCACTGGGTTTTGGAGCAGAGTTAGTGTTTGTCCGCTTCACAGCAGCTGTTTAGTCGATGATTGATGCTGATGTTTAATGGTGAGGGTTTGATTGATAACGTCTGTCATCGTTCAGATTGCATATCCCTGATGTCAAGGTCCCATCGGATTGATAGCTCCGTTGCCATGGATACGAGCCTTTTTCAGTGTAATATGTCCGTGAAGGTCAGAGTTTAAAGGACACAATCCATCCTGAAAGGAAAAATGTGGGAGAGTGAGGAAAAATGAATGATCGATCTGTTCATCTTTCAGAGTAGAAGCTGCTGCAGTGCTTTGGGATGACAGGAAGAGCTCTTACATTTATTCAGTTTATTCACTCACTATAAAGTAAATTAACATATACACACGCATACATAAGAACATAAACACAAAAGATAACTAATTCAAATTCAGTCAGTTGCATATGTTGGATGCTAAATGCACTCCTTTAAAAATACAAAGTACAAACACACACATGTGTACAGAGAGTGCTGGAGGGAGGGTCAGAGAAGGGACAAATGGAAAGAAAATGATGAAAGCGATTGTATTCTTCTCCAAGACTAGTTCTCTATTTAGAAAGCACCATCTTTCACACACTTTCATACTCAAATATATATTCATTCACTGTCTGCGATATACACACACACACACAGATGGAGCTCAGCGTGTCTCTGCAAGGCCGAGTGTGAGACGGAAGTGCACGTCTGTTATTACTTTATAATTAGATCAGCTAACGTGTTTCGATCTCGCACGCTCACAGACACTCACAGTTGTGTGCTCTCACGCTGTCTGCGTGCTCCTCGGACCGGTTGGGGTTATTAATACAAGTTAGCGACAACTGAGTATTTGCGTCAGCCGATTTGTTTGTGTTTCAGTGTTCAATCAGCTTCGATTTGTTCGTACACTCATGGTGCGTGCAAGTCATGTGATTTTCATTAAGTTCAATCAAGTTTTATCAGTATTGATCAGAGAACTTCACTTAGACTCGTAGCAAATAAAATTTGCAAACACAGTCAATACAAGGCTGCTTTATTTAGATGTGATCAAAGTTACTAATATAATATACAGTGCTTGAATTTCATGAGCTTTCTTATTGAGTGCAGATGAGAAAAAACATTTCAAGATTGCATTTTCCACTTACGATAATTTATTTTGACAGAAAAAACCTGGAACAACATTTGCAACCCAAAGAACTTACACAATGTGGCATTTTCAAGTGAATGATTATTTTGTTTTGTTTTGTTTTGTTTTGTTTTGTTTTGTTTTGTTTTGTTTTGTTTTGTTTTGTTTTGTTTTGTTTTGTTTTGTTTTG